GAAAAATATTGAAAAGTTTGACGTTTTTATTTAAAAAAGAGGAGGCGGGAGGAGTGTGCTTTATTAGAATTAAAAAATAAAAAGTTTAATTTTGGGTGGCATTTGTAAAGAGTGGGTGGTAAGTAGGTAGGTAGGTACTTTTTGTTGTGGACATGGAAGTTTTTTGCGCATAATTTGTTTCCACGAAAGAAATTTGTGTATTTTAGGAAAATTCCACAAAAAAGTGTCCTCTTCCTTTACAAGGTCAATTTTTGCTATAATAATTTTATTTGCCTTAAAAATAAATAAATAAACAATCTTTAATCAAGGAAAAACAAAGTAATTGAGAATTAAAGTTTTCAATAAAATATTCCAAATATTTTAAATTTTCTAAATTTCTTTAATTTAAATAAATAAATATATTTAACTCGCGCAAATATTTTAATAAACATTCCATCGGACAAAATATTTTAATTCCCTTCCTTTTGCCAAGTATATGAAAAAAGGAAGAAAATAAGCGGTCAGTAAAATTTGTAAAATTATTTTTAAAAATATTATATATACAAACAGCTGACTTAAAAAGAGAGGAGAGAGGGAGAGGGAGAGGGAGGTTGTTGAAAGTTTTTTTTTTGTGAAAAAAAATTTTAAAAGAGCTTTTTGTCGGTCAAAAGTGCATAAGCGCAAAATAAGTAGAAGGGATATATATTACATAAATGGGTGGATATATATAGTCTTGTAAGGCAAAAAAAAAGAAAAGCAGGAAGAAGAAAATGAAAAGAAATAATAATAGATTAGCCAAAATGCCAATATATAAAGTGATGGCTAGACTTTAAGACAAAAATAAACAAATTTATAAAAATATTTTTGAAGAAAAAAACAAAAATAAAGGAAGGAAAAAAGAGAAAATAAATATTTCCTTATTTAAATTCTTAAAACATTTTGACACTTGGCTATCCTTCCCTCTCTCATAAATATTTTTTATTTATAACCAGCTGACCGCCTTTACTATTACCCAACAAAAATTAGACAGACATGAAAGAGAAAAATAAATAAAAATAAAAATTGTTTTTAGCTTCCGTTGGTCACTCAAAAAGGACTGAGAGACTTTAAAAAAATATTTTTTTCTTTTCAATTCTCTTTCAAAGCCAAACAAACAAATTTTATATTTAAGCTAATGTTTGGAGTTAGAAGTGGATGAGAAAAGCACGTTGTTTTGAAATAAATAACTAAATAATTATTTTAAGAAAATATTAGAATAACCAAAAAAAATCAAAAAAATTCTTATAAAAGTTCAAGTAAAGTACATTTATAAAAATAATCCAAAAATAATTTTATTTTAAATGTTAATCCAAAATAATGTTAAAATCATTATCCACATACTTCCTTTTTTTAATGGAAATATTTTTAAAAACAAGGTTTTATTTATAATTAAAAGAAATTTATTATACGAATTATTTTACATATGCCCTTATATACATATAAAAGCTTTTTTTACTTATTCAAATCCTAAAAAGTTTTTTACAGAAGTATCACTGATTAATATTTTCTTAAATACTTTTAATTTCCAAATAATTTATAAAAATGGAAATAAGTAAAAATAAAGTTAAGGATAAATAAGGAACGAGAAAAGATTAAAAAAATGTTTTTCATTAAGTTTTTTACGTTCATAATTTGGAAAGGAATCTTAATCAACAACAAAAACAATCTATTTTTAAAAATAATTATTTTTATAAATGATATACTAAATAGTAATTCTAATAAATGAATTTCTTAGAATTTTTAAAAAAGAAAAAGAAGAAAAGGAAATATTTGAAAAAATCAGTTAATGATACTAAATTCATATATAAATTTTGAGAAATATTTTGCTATAAAAATTTTGGGTTCTTTGATGGATAACATAAAATTTAGAGAATCAACATTAATTTTGATACTAAAAATTTAAATTTAAAGATATAATTATTAAAACAAAAAAAAATAAATAAACAAACATATCTGCTATAAAAAGATTTTCAAGTTATACATAAGTGACCTGTAAATAAATAATAAATAAATATAGTTATTAGAATGCACTTTAAAATAAAAGTCTCTACTATTTAAGAAATATGCGTGATTCAAATAAAATAATTATTATATTTTGTTTTTTTATTTTCATAATTTATTTATAAATGTTTTTGAGTAAAATATATTTTTTTTTGTTTTTGTTTTTAATAGTATATTATTTTTCTACTTGGAAAATGAGTGCCGAAAATAACTAAAAAAATATATTGGGGGTGGAAATAAATGGAAGAAGTTAATTTATTTATTTTTATATTACGTATATATTTGTTTTTATTAAATAATTAACCAAGTAAATAAATATATTTAAAAATAATGAAAAAATAATTAATGTTTTTTAAATAAAATAGGAAATACTAGAAATTTAGAAATATTGGGGGTAAAACATAAAATTTAGAAAAATATTTAAAAAATATAATAGCTTTTAAGATCAGACATTATTTAAAACTAAAATATATTAATTAAATAAAATAATAAATAATTAAAGATTTCAAACAATTTTTAAAAAATGTGAGAATTAATTAAAAATTTAAAAATATTTTAAATAAAAAAGGTCTTTGAATTAAATTTAAGTTTGCGTGTGAATTATTTGAAAAATAAAAGAAAACGATGATGATCATCAATTTTATACAATTCTTTGCATATTGAGAGATAAAAGAAAAAGCAAAAAGAAAATAAAATTTTAATAAAAATTTAAAATTATTGTAAAAAAGAAGGGAGAGCACTCAATTAATAGAAGAAAAGCTCCACAATAAATGTGTAAGGACAAAGATTAAATAAATTAAAACAGAAAAATTATTCTCATAAAATTTTTTACAATACATAGAAGCAAATGATTTCCGGTTGCGTAAGTTTTTAAGTTTGTGCTATTTATTTAAAATATTTAAAATTAATAAAAAAATAAAAGAATTGACAAAGATCTTTATTTAACTTTAACCTTTAGATGCTTATACCTTAAATTTGATGGTCATAATATGTGGCAAAACAAATTCAAAAATTTTTATTTTAAATTGAGGTTTATCTATTTATTATTATTAAAATCGAGATCCTAAAATATTCAAAAAAATTTTTTTAGAAAAATATACCTATTTATAAAGTTTCGAAGCAAAAATTTTATTAACCTAAATTAAAAATAAATTTAAGAATATTTTATTTTATTACTGCAAATACTAATTCTCTAATTTGTTAATAAATAATAAAAATATTTTTTAAATATTTAATTTATTTAATTAAAAAATAATTTTATTCAAAAAAACATTTTAAATTTCAAAGATGACAGAGTAAAAAAGAAGCCGAAAAGGGGAAAAGAATGAATATTGTTGTTTAAATATTTTTTAAACAAATTTTAATCAGACAAAAAAATATTTTGTATTTTTTATTTAAAATATTTATCTTTAACCTTTATCTTTTTTTCAAAGTTTGTTGCTATAGTATCAACAAGAAATATTAATTTGTCATTAAAAAGCTAGGATTTGTAAATAAATTTGTAAATTTATGACGAACTTTGATCGAATTTTTGAAAAAATAAATTACATCAGCAACGGAAAAAATAAAAATATTTTATTTGTGATATTATTTAAATTCTTCTCTGTTTAATTTGGAATATATTTTGGAATGGTGAACCCGATCCTGATCATGGGAGGTGATGAGATTACGGCCAATGAAGCTTTTCAAAAGCCCGATATATCTGTTTTTGTTTTATCTAGAGTTTCTGCCTTATTTACAATTTTAAGATTAAAAACAATTTAATTCAAAATTAAAAATATTTAAAAACCGAAACTCTAACAACTACATACATACTTTTACATTTTTAATATTTTTACAAATATAAAATTTAATCATTTTTAATTATTACTTTATTTTACTATACATATAATTTTAATAGACTTTCATTTAAGATCATATCTATCTCGCCTATATTTTTCCTCAATAAATTTTTCTTCATCTAAATTTTTTCTTTCATCCAAATCTTTATTTTCTAGTATTTTATTAACGAATAATTTTTTTTTAATTTTGTTGTATTTTTTGATTTATTGCTTTGGTCAAATCAAAGCTTTGATCAAATTTTAAGCAAATTATTCGGATTTAAAATTTGATTGACTTTTGTATTTAGTTTTAAGATTTTTCCGATCTCTAGAATTAATATAAAATTAAATACCGTAAATTCACTAAACTAATTATTTTTCAATCCCTTCCGAGGAGCTTAATATATTTAGGATTTTTAGAGATTTATTATGATATTTAGAGAAGTATAGTACTAGTTTTTATTTGATCTATATTTAACTTAGAATTATTCAGAAAAAAAATCGGCATTTTATTAAACTTTTCTTTCATCCAAATTAAAAAATGCCCAAACTTGTAATTGCCGGTCATTTCACTCTTGAAAATTTTATTAACGAACTTAAGAATAGAATGAATTCTTCAGTTTCTTCAGTAGTTAACTATAAAAATATTTAAAAAAAAATTAATTTTAGTTGCTCAGTGGGGGACTTTATATATACCAAGCGCCTAAAACAAATGCTATACCCGTTGTGCCTCTTAATTTGCGCTTGAACGATGCAATTGCGCAGGCTGAGACTTTATCTCGTACTCGATCGCACAGTCCAAAACGTGCTGTAATTATAGAAAATGTTGTTATATTTGATGTAAATTTTGTTCAAGTTTTAAATAAAACCAACAGTTTTAATCAAATTTACTCACATAAACTTTTAAGATTTGTACTTAAATCACTTTAACAATTCTGATTTTTTCTGACAAAGAAAAAATGTAAAATCGAAAACATACTAATTATTTATTTAAAAATTATTTTAAAAATTATATAAATTTATTTATTAAAAAAACACAAGAAAATACATTAAATTTTAGTTATACAAAATTAAAATATAAAATAAAAAGTCTAAAATAATTGAAGATAAAAAAAGCTCTTAAATTGGCAATATCTGACAGTCTCTCTATTTAATTTAAATTTATTTTTCTTTAAAATCTTTAATTGATTTTTCCATTTTTTGTCGATGCGCAATTCTTGTAACCCCCAAAGCTGTATATTTTGAACGATCAAAATATAATAGATCAATTCCTTTAATTTCACAAAATGATGAACAATGTTCTGACAATTCTAAATATTCAAGCCATTCACAAACATCCAAACAACTCCATTCTTTTATTGCTTTCTTTAAATAATTAATTAAATTAAATTATAATTTAATTAATTTAATTAATTTTTACTTGTTTAAATTCTCCTGTATTTTGTTTTTTAAATCCAATTTCTTCTTTCATAGAAGATTCTAAAAAATAATTTATAAAAAATAGAATATTTCAAAAAATTTATTACTGATTATTTCTTTTTCTCCTTTAGGAGTAGACTGATTAGAAGAAGAAGATGGTTGTTGTTCTTCTACTAAATGATTATTTGAATTTATAGAAGAATTTTCTGATTGGTCATCATAATCTACAGCTGGTATTCGCAAAAAAGAGCCGATACTGTTGTTGTCTCTTTCTGGACAAAACTGTAAATAAAAAGGAAAGAATTTTGGAAATTTTCAAAATTATTCTCAATAAAAAGGCCTTTCAAAATATTTTTTTCCTTACAGATTTATTATTATTTCCTGTTAATAAAGGTGATTGTGTCGATGTTTGTTGGTCAATTAATTGTTGACTCAAAACATTAACTCTGTGTTTAACAGGTAAAGAATGTTGTGTATTAACTAAAGAAGATGCTACAATTGTTGCCCCATTTCCATTATTATTTTCACAATCTCCACATTCACTAGGCTCTAAAGATGTTCTCGAAGAAGTATATCTTAGTTTTTAGAAATTAAATTATAGAGGAAAATATTTTTTTGAATTTTACCCGCTATCCTTTTTTGTTCCAATAAATCCTCCTGGTGGGGAATGTGAAGAAGTATTTGCTGTCATTTTACCTCCAACATGTCCACATTTGGCTGCAGCACCACTAACATTTTCTAAAACAGATTCACGAAGACTAAGACCTCCATTATATCGACTAATAATTTAAAAAATTTAACATAAAATAAACATAAGGGAGAATGTTATTGGGGCACCCTAAAGACAAAAAAATTAATACAAGAGATCAGACCGAGACGAGATCTAGAAAAAAATTTGGAAAAAAATTTTCCCAGAACCGATCTCTCTCTATCCAGACCGGTCTCTATCAACTAAATATCCAAATACCTCAAGCTTGCCCCCACTACCACTTTACTAGAAACATTTTTAAAATTATTACCCAGTTAATATTCCTCCTCCTCCTCCATTATTATTTATTCCTCCATTTCCAACATTTTGTTGTTGTCCTTTTCCATTATTATTTTCAATATTATTAACAACAATTTTATTATTTTTTAAATTATTATCCTCATTCCCACTTCCACCACTTTCACTTGTTTCTTCAACAATTCTTACTTTTGACCGTCTTCTAGCTAAAGCAGAACGTAAATCGGAATTAAAATCTATTGGAGGGGCTATTTTTCCTCCTTCATTTCCTTCATTTAAAGAAGTTTTTAAATTTTGTTGAATATTTTTATTTTCATTTTTTGTCGGGGAAGTTTGTTTGACAGGTCTTAAACGAACAGAACGAAGTGTTTCAGCACTTATTCCACTAGCTGGAGCAGAATTTGTAGTTTCTGGTTGCTTTTTTGGTTGTAAAGGTTTAGTAGGTGTTATTGAAGAAGTACTTGGTTGTGAATGTTTTTGTAATAAATTAATAGGGGGTGGGGGTGGAGGGGCTGGTGGTCCTCCTCCTAAAAATATTATTTCTTTAAAAAATAAATTTCTAAATTAATTACCAGATTTATTATTTTGTTGGGGCAAAGAAGGAACAACAACAACAGTAGAGGCATAAATTGGAGCAGAAGTATTATTATTAGAATTTTGTGAAGGAGGAGGAGTTAATTGTTGTTGTTCCCCTTCTTCTTCTTCTGTTCCTCGTAAATTAATAGAATTTTTCCACAAACTTTGTGGAGGTGGGGGTGGGGGAGTTTTTGGTCTTAAAATTATTTTGTTTTTATTTTCAGAATAAATATTATTTTCATTTCCTTCAGCTGCTTGTAAATCTGGTGTTGAAATTGAACTTTTCATTAGTTGATTTTGATCATTATTATTATTTGAATTCCGAACACTCTGTTGTTTACGTCTTTTCATTTCAGCTACTTTAAAATTTGAAAAAAAATTTTAAATTAATTTTAGAGTTGTAGGGAAATTAAAAAAAGGAGAGAATAATAAAAAAATTAGTTTTTTTAATAATTTTAATCACACTAACTCCTTAATGTTTACCTGAAGTAAACTTTTTTGGTATTCCAACATTATTATTTTGTTGTTCAACAATTTGTTGTTTTTGTTGATCAGAAGAATTACTACTTCCTTGTTGTACCATTAAATGCTCTAATTCTGCAGCAGAAATACGACGAACAGATTTAGTTAATTTAACAGAAGCACAACGAGTTTGTTGTTCTATTGGTACATAAGTTAATTGTTGTTGCGGAAAAGTAACAGAAGAATTTGGGAGAACATCACAAGGAAGTGTTGAATTATTTGGAGAATAATTATGGACATCTACTGCTATTTAAATAAATAAATATTTATAGATTTTAAAAAAATATTTTATTTTACCAGCAGTGAATTGTGAAGCTGCAAATGAACGACGACCAAAAGAAAGAGTTGTTGATGGATCACGTTGTGGAGGGGGAGGAGGCGGAGGGGGTAAATTTGCTGGATTTTCTGTTGTAGAAGAACCGTTAAGTCTTGGTACTAAATTAATTAATTTAAAAGTAATATTTTATTTAAAAAAGGTATTCCTTAACTTTAGACTAAATAAAAGTTAGTATGTAAATGATATTAGGGATTTAAATAATTTGGAAATTAAATGAGTTAATTCTCTAGATTTTGAACTATATCACAATTTTTTTTTAAATTTTCCAAAATAATTTTACCAGAATGATTTCTCCTCCCAAAAGTTGCATAATTAATACCCGAACTACTAGCATATATTTGTTGTTGTAAATGTTGAGTATTTTGTAATTGTTGTTCTCTTGCCAAAAGATCAACATCTATTGTCACAACTTTTAACTAAAAATATTTCTTTAAATTTTTTCCCTAACATTCATTTTTAACTGTAATTGTATCTCCACATTGATGTATCAATTCAACAACTTGTTCATGACTTGCTGCCCTAACATCCACTCCATTAATTTCAAGTAAAAAATCTCCAGGTCTAAGGCCAGCGCGCATTGCCATTCCTTGCATATCTACACCTTCAAAGAATTGAAGTGCTGGAATTGTTAATGTTGGACGAAAATCTAATTGCATTGAATCTGCATCTGAAATGGTATTAATAAGAGAATATTTTCTAAAAAATTCTTTACATCTAGCTCCACGCAAAATAAATCCAAAACCTTTAGGCCCCCTTGGAATAACTAAAATACGTGGAGTATTTGGTTCAAATCCCGGTTGTTGATGTTGAACTGTATTTGCAGGAATTCTTCTTAAAGTCCCATATTCGCTCGTTGAAGTTGTCATAGAGGGGTTTTGATTATTTATTGGATTGATCTTTAAAAATAAAAAATATATTTAAAACTTCTATCAATTAAGTACTTGTTGTTGTTCTTGAAGTTGTTGATTAACATTAACAGAAGAATATCTATGTGGATGGCTAGAAGCAATTGTAGAGGAAGAAGAACAATGTGAAAGTGAACGTCTTCGAGACATGCTAATAATACTTCCATCTTGGGATTGACGAGTAGAAAGTCGACGTCGAGTGTTAAGTCTTGGAGGTTCAAGGAAAGGAACTGAAATGTAAATATTTTAAAAATTTGAGATAAAGTCAAATCTCTTTTTAAATTTTTATTTTAGAATTTTTAAAATTTTAAACCTCCTCCTCTTATATTTAATAAATTATTATTATGTTGTATTAATCCATAATAACAAATTGGTTGATAATTATTGTTAAGATACGATAAAGAATTATTATTTGATGAAAGAAAAACAAACATTGAGGAAGTAGTAGAGGAATTGGAAGAATTTAAATGTTGTTGCCAATAAGGCAAATAAGAGGGGAGAAATGAGGGGATATATGAAGAGGAAGAGGAGGAAAACATAGTAATTAATGATAAATCAGGGCTCTCATCGACAAAATACCAATCAAGAGTACAAAAATCTCGATTTTAAAGTACATAGGGACAAAATTTCCAAATTTAAAGGACACTCAAAATTAAATTACAAAATATTTATTCGCCCTCAAATCTTTTATACTATTTCTCTGCTAAATGAATTTTTCTAATAATCTCTTGTTTCCACTGAGCATTTTGTGCATTTCATACACGCCATGTCAAAATTCGCTGTCACAAGAAGTAAAGCCCTGACAGTCTTAACCTCAAGCAAGCTACTTTCTTACGTCCATTTTCAACGCCGCAGGCGAAAATTTTGGGAAATTTCGGGGTTCTTAAGACAGATTTCCATTTTTAGCGCCGCAGACGAAAATTTTTTAAATTTGGCACCCAAGAAGCCAAATTTCTTCCTTTTTCAGCGCCGAAGGCGAAAATTTTGAGAATTTTGGAGTTCCTTAAGCCAGATTTCTTCCTTTTTCAGCGCCGCAGGCGAAAATTTTGAGAATTTCTAAGGCCGTAGGCCAAAAAAATCCACTTTTTTGCCCAATCCTTCCCTAATTTCATTTTCAATCCAAAATGTTGATTTTAAAGTACATACTTTCAATAAAGTACAAATTCAATTTTGTAAGTACGGAGGTCGATTTTAAAGTACTGTACTTTCAAATAAAGTACGAATGAGAGCCCTGTGATAAATCCTTATAAAGAATTAATTTTATATGTAATTTATATGGGATAACCAAAAATAATTATTTAAAGAAAATGGTGTCACTTCCATCCAGAAAATTTGTGTTTTAGAGGGAACACAAAGTAGTAACTTAATTAAAGTGGACAGTCAGTCAACATAACTAAATCCACTAAAATATCCCAATAAATGTTAATTTTTAGACACACATTTATGTACTCTCTCTCTACATATTATAAACACTTTTTTAATAAAAATAAATTTATTTTCACCCAAATTTACTTAAAAATAAAAAAATATATTTCTTCTCTTTCTCATTCGGTGAATTAGTGGGGGCTGTTCGGCTTACTTGCTTTTGCACTAATTAATCCAATTTTCCTCAAATCATGGCTACTAACAAAAAATAAGAGAAAATTAGGGATTGAAGGAACGTCATTAATCCGCGCAAAGATTTCTTTTAAAAAAGTAATGGAATAAAATAAATGAACAAAAAAATTTTGTCGCGGCACCGGAAAATCGGCTGAAGAGAAGTTATTGTAGTAGAAGAAAATTTATTTTTGTAAAAAGTAAAGGAGAACGAGAAGAGTTTTGGGGAAAGTGTAGTACATGAAAATTAAGAGTAAATAATTTAAATAAAAATTTAATTTAATAAATTATTTTTAAATTAAATTTTATTTAAATTTTAAAAATTAAATAATTATTTTTCTTAAATAAGAAAACGGATATTTCTAATAGAATTTGAAATAATTAGATCTCTCTTTATGTTTGATTGGTCATTAAATTAGAATTTTAGAATTATTATTTAGTGGAACACGGAGATGGCATAAAAAATAAATTGGGGAAAATTAATAAAAATCAAGGATCTGGAAATAAATAGTGTCAAATTAAAAGTGAGGGATTGACATAATTAATAAATAAATATTAAGGAAAAAAGAGGATGTAAAAATTTAAAAATATTTTTAAAATTTAATTTAAAAAGATTATTTTTTGTGTAAAATTAATGGAAAATAATCCTAAAACCTTAGGATTGGCTTTTGAACAATTTTAAAAATAAAAAAATTTTCCCTTACCAACACTTTGAGGGGAATGACCAAGAATAACATTAGCTACAGCCATATTCCCAACAATTTGGGCAACTTGTACAGCAGTTTGATTATTTCCATTAATTAAAGAAGGATCAGCACCTCTATATAACAATAATTGAGCACATTCAACACGTCCATTGACTGCACAAACGTGAAGGGGAGTATTCCCGTTAATATTACGGGCATCTATATTTGCCCCATAATAAATTAATTGTTCTGTATGTTTACAAAGTCCGTTTTTACAAGCCTTTAAAAATTAAATTTTGAAAAAATTTTTTGAAAATATTGCCTGATGTAATGCTGTATTTCCATGCATATCAACAATATCTAAATCAGCTGCCTCAGCTAACAACATTTCTGTCACTTCTGCATTAGATTCAGCATTAAGCATATTATAATAAAGAGGCTAAAAAATAAGAAAAGAAAAAATAAACATTAATTTAAAAGAAAAAACATTAATTAACAACAAAAACACTAACAGTTAATCCAATTAAATCTTTATAATTTGGAGAAGCACCCAATTCAAGCAAAACACGAACATTTTCAGCAACAGAGAGAAATGCTGCTTTATGCATTCCTGTCTATAATTTTTAATAAAAAAATTAGTAAAATAAAAACTGTTTCCTTCTTTACAAAATTAGGGGTTTGAAAAGATAATTCTTTTTAAAATAAGGAAAATATAAATGCCTCCCTAAAGCCCGGAAGTCTTTAAAATAATTTGAGAGTTCTAAATCTCCTTTCAAACATAAAATAAAACATTCATTTACCTGCCCCTCAGTATTTCTAAAATCTAAATGAGCACCACCACCAACCAACTGAACAATTACTTGCTGACTTCCTGGAATACCAGAAGCCAAAGTAAGAGGAGTTTCTCCATGAGAATCGTGGAAGTTTGGATCCAATCCTTGTTGACATAAACGATCCAATTTTTGAATATTTTTATTTTGTACAGCCTCAGAGAATTTACGTAAATTACTTTTTGAATGAACAGAACGAAGTGTTTTTTCATCTAATCGTAACATTTTATAAACTCTTTTCTTGAATTTTAACTGAAAATTATATAAAATAATTTGAAGTCTGAACAGAAGAAGTACCTCAACATAAGGAGCACAATCATGAAAAGGATAATCACGTAAAGGTCTATCATCTAACAAAAATTTGCCAGCCCTGCCGTCACAGGGAGGAAGAAAAAGTCCATAATTAAAATACTGATTTAATTGTTGAGGTAATGATTCAAATAAACGCTGTTTTATATCCCAAACAAATTCATCTAATGGCACTGACAAACATTTCTATAAATATATTTAAAGGAATTAATTTAATGTTTTGTATATGGAAGCTATTATCTAAATTAGTAATTGCAATCATGTCTGTGTATAAGTACGAGAAACATTCAATTCCTTCCAAATTGTACGAACTTCAAAAGGATTGTTATTTTTGGCTTTTCCCATTTTAGGTCTTGTTATAAGGTTGGCGGATTCTAAGAAATTTCCGTATATCCGGATACGAAATCCACACCGAAATTTCTGGATATCCTGTCTTTTTCGGGTCCGGAAATCCGAATCAGCCAACCTTAACTTGTTATATATAATTATGTATATATTTATTAGTACATAGATATTTTACATTTTTGCTTCTTAGGTTAAAGAATTAAGGTTCCTTATTATTTAAATTAGCAAAGAAATATAATACACATCTGGCTAAAGATTAGAGTTATAAAAAATAAAAAGTTAGTACATTAATAATCAAACACTTATTTACTCAAAGTATAAATATTTTTAAATTATTATTTTTTTGCATTTTAAATGTAATTTTTTCTTCTAAAAAAAAGAAAGGTTAAAGCAAAATAAAGAAATATTCAAGTTCACGGTTACCTCAAAACTGCTATACAAAGCACTTTTAATATAAGCTGAGAAAATTAGATAAAATTTCGTAAAAATGTGCAAAAAACTAAAAAAAGAGACTAAAACTTAATTAAAGTTTAAAAGAAAATATTAGCTAATATTTAAATAAAAATAATTTTTTTCTTTTTTTTTTTAATTTTTAAAAGGTTAAAAATAAATTAAATTGTTGCTTATAATAAAGAGGAAAATAAATAATTTGTACTATAAGAATTTCCAGAATATATTTAGTTGGTTGTTGTTGTTGATTAACTTAAATTTATGAGTAAGCCCTCCGGCGGCCAAAAGCAATGAAAAAAAAATAAAATAAATGCTAAGTATTAATTGGAGGTATTTGGGGGGAAGGAATGAAAAAATGAGGAAAAAAGGAGAGGAAAAAAATAAATAAGATACATATATCATTACAACATAGCAAGTACAAAACACTTGATTGGTGGCCGAAAGAATTAATTTATAATACCACACAAAAAGTCGAAAAAAAATTAAGTAAAGAATGATACTATTTAAAACACTCTAGGTAAGTTTAAAATAAATAAATTTATATGTTAAATATACTAATATAAAATCTAGGATTTTTTAAATAAGAAAAGGCTTAAAAAGGCGTGAAAGATTAGACTCAAGCAGAAAAATTCATTTTACAGCTATTTAGTCTCATTAAAGCTGCTAATTAAAATAAATAAACAATTAACTCTCGAATACCAATTTTTAAGGGCTTGAAATCTGTCAATCCTCCTTCTCGGGAATTTTTTAAATTTAAGTGGAAAACTAAAAGAATTGTTCCCATATTTCTTTTCAAAAAAGAATTACCTGCATTTGAAGTTCGGGAACAAAAATTTGTAAATTTATAGGTCCATCATTTACACCCAAAGTAGAGGCCGTATCCGTTCCAGCAGCCATTTGCATAATTCTCTGATTTTCTATTGTACTTAGAGAATCATCGGCCGTCCAAGTTTGTAATGACAATGAGGGAGATTCGCTACCAGAGGATGAAAATGATGAATCAATGGCTAAAGAAGAAGGGATTGTTGTTGATGTTGCGAGAGGAGGAAGATTGTTATTAGCAAGTCCAATACCGGAAACAGCCGCCGAATTGAGTGCTGCCGTAAATGAGTGGGAATGTGGAGGATTTTGTTGTTGTTGTTGTGAGTGCATTCAAAAATAAAAAGAGAATTATAATTGAATAAATTGAATTGAATTTAAATTAAGTAGATAGTAAATTTATTCTAAAAATTAGTAAAAATTTATTTAATCCAAAATATTCAAAATCTGACATCAATTTAAATAAATATACAGAATTTTTAGATTTTTTATTTAAAATTTATTTATAATTATTTTAGTAAAAGTTTTGGAATTTATTGAATAAAAAAAGAATAATTAGAGAAAAAGCTACTTAATAGTAGAAAAAGGGTTAAAGAATTAAAACAAAAAATATTTTTTTATTTAATGAGAAAGATCCGAATAAACTGATAAGGTGTTGGGAAAGAAAATAAAAAAGGAAAACAAAAGATAAATTAATAGAAAAAATTCTCTTCTAGAATTAGAAAAAAATATTAAAAGATTTTTTTAATTTTATTAAGTTGTATTTTTTATTGAATAAATTCAAAAAATTTTATTCCAAATTTCCAATATTTTAATTTCCAAATAAAAAACCCTAAAAATTATTTAAAATAAATTTAAAGATTTTTGCGCATTGAAGAAACGAATGGGGAAATGAATAATAAATTAATTCAAATATTTATTTGTGCGGGAAAAGAGAAACGAAAATGACTGAAACACTCTGACTTTTTAAAAAAAACGATAAAAATCTGCTTCTGAGGGAATATTTTTGAGGAACTGAAAAAAATATTTTTTTAGTTTAAATTATTAAATAAATAAAAATAAATAATTATTATTTTAAAAGAAAAAAGTTTTACAATTTTATTTATTTATTTCCTTCTTTAATATGTAGATTAGATATTAAAGATTATGTATTGTAAATTATTAAATATTTATCATGTGAAAGTAAATAAAAAACAAAAAAAAGATTTTTTAAAATTATTTATATTTTATTTATTTAAAATAAAAAATTAAATTAAATAAAAAATATTTTTGGTTGAAATTTTTAATTGAAGATATTAAAGATATATTTTAATTATTTAAATATTTAAAACATCTCTTTATTTAATTAAATAATTATTTTTTAGTCACTCTTTCTTTCAATTAAAAAGCTCTCCATTAATGACGGTTGTTGCCTGCCCAGGTTTACAATTACCAGAATTTTTTGCGATAAAAAAGCAAAGGTAGTAAAATAATATATATTTATTTATATATTTATTATCAACACGCGCCTATTAAATTTAAAAAAGCCGCTCATTTAGAGAATAAGAGAATATACCTATTTCGGCTAATTTTGGACGAGGAATATATTAAAAGATTAATTAATTTTTTTATTAAACAAAATATATTTCGGGAAAGAAGATTTAATAAAGATGTGGGTGGCCAGAATTGTTGCATTTTTGGTAGGATTTGGGTATGAAAAGGGGTTTTAATTGTGTTTAAATTTTAAAATTAATTAGAAAAAAATTTTGTTTTGTATTTTTAATTTTAAATTTATTTTCTAAAATATAAAAAACGATTAAAATACTTGTAACTTAAGAAGGAAAAAGGAGAAGGAGGAACATGTTTCTGGATGAAAAAAATACAGCGAAAAGGACATGTGTAATTATAAAACGATAATTGTTATAGAGGGAGGTAGGTGGTGGTGGCCCTTCTTAAAAAAATTTTTTTAGAGCTTGATTACTTTTAATTGATTTGAAAGGAAAAAAGTAAAATAAAATTTATTTTACTTTTTTAAATTTAAGAGAAAACATATACAAATAATTAATTAAATATTATTCTTAATTGTAAAATAAAAAAAAATTTTCAAAAAAAAATAAAATACCGTATATACTCTATTAATTACCCTGGGTAATTATTGTTTCGACCTCACCCTGGAGAGGGTAATTAATAGAGGCGGGGTAATTAATAGAGGTTATTTTAGGAAGGCTAATTATAACTATTTTTAAGGGGGTAATTATTGTTTCAACCTTTCGCTGGAGGGGGTAACTAATAGAGGGGGTAATTATTTGAGGGAGGGTAATTAATAGAGTATATACGGTAAATAAATAATTTTTAAAAATTTATTTATCTGTCTTAAAGCCAAAAATATTTTTTTAAAATTTCTTCCTTCATTATGCAAATTTAAACAAAAATCAATTCAAAAAATAAATTTTCTTTTGTCCATTTTTACTAAAAATTTATGCATTTATTTAAAGAAAAAAAAGTTTTTCTTAAATTAATTTAAAATTCAAAAATTTATTTTTATTTATTTATTCTCTCTAATTTTTCAATTAATTTTCTACAAAAATTCTCTTTTATTTATAAAAACAACCAAAAATGGTAGAACAGTGTCAGAAACTGTTTTAAATTAATGTACGTAAATTGGCCAAAAAATAAATAAATAAATTGCTACAAAATAAAGAAAAGCAGTTATTAATAAATTGAAAGAAAGAAGCACTTTTTAATAAACCTGTTTTTGTTTTTATTATTAAATGGAAATTATGAGAAAAAAAGAGAGAGGGAAAATAAAATTTAAATTAGTTAATTTTAGCATTAAATTAATTTTTAATTTTTTTAATTAATAAATAAATGTATTAAGATTAAAAATTAAGTTTTTTTCTTAATTTCAAAAATTGTTTGTATAAATTTTGAAAAATTGTGTTTTGATATTTAAATTAATTAAATAAATAAATCTTTTGATTAAAGAAAAACAAACAAATAAATAAATAAAAGTTTTGAAATAATTAAAAAAAGATTCTAGTATTAATATAATATAAATTAAATTATAAATAAAAGTTTTTTGACATAAAAATTAATTTTTAAAATTAATTTTTATCCCTTTTATTTAACAAAAATTAATTCAATTAATTTGTTTTTATAAAAAATATGTAAATTTTTTATTTTAAGAAATGACAATTTTAATTAATTTATTTATTAGCTATAATCGATTATTGAGCGATGGCGCAACGGCGAGATTTAAATAAATAAACACAATAAATAAATAAAATTAAGGAAATGGGGCAACCAATAAATAAATACTTTTTTTATATTTAATTTATTTGTTGTTGTTGAAGGGCTACGGGAAGTTAGTGGGGGATATAAAGAAAAGAAAATAAAAAGTATTGCGTGGAAGTTTTGTTAAATATATATTTAATATTTATTTATTTATTAGTTTTTAAAAGAAGAAAATTTTAGAGTGGACAAAGACCGGTCAGGCGGGCGAATATTTGAGGAGAGGAAAAAGACGAAAAAATTATATTTATTTGGGGGGAAAAGAAGTGATCGGGGCCTAAAGACTTTAAAGAAAAGAGAGCACCAATCGAGTGCTTTTGCGGTAAAGAAAAAATTATTTTGGCAAGAGGGCCCCCCTCCCACCCCTCCTCTACTCTCGCGTAATATTAAATATATATTTTAACTTTTCTTTTGCTTTTTATTTTTGTATTTTTTAAAGCATTTTGTGTGATTGCTTGTATTTTTGAGGGATTTTCTTTTGGTCAGTGGAGCGAGTTTACTTGCGCATTCGACAGGAAAACATTGAAGATGGTGATTTGGGGAAAGAAGAAGAGGAAAAACTGGAAAAAAGAAATAATTTAAAATTTAAAATTAAATAGTTAAGTGAAGAACGTTAGTTAGTGATTATTTAATGCAAAAATTAATTAAATTTAATTTGGTTAAATTAAATAAAGAGACAATAATGGATAAGTGAAGACAAATTATTAATGAAAGTTACTAAAATATTACGCACTCCCTATTATTTATAATTACCCCCTCACGGTTTACACAATAATTATAGTTGAGTAAAACTGTGTATAAGGAGTTTCTCTTGAAATCTAAAAAATAATCGAGTCAAGAAAATATAGGGGGAGAGGGGTATTATTAATCTTTTAGTTTATTTTGAATTTAAAAGGTATTTTTGTTGGCTAATTGAGATAATTCAAATGATATGGAGAATAATAAAAAAAGTACAACTTGGGGATGATAAAGTGTAGATCATGAAGATAAAAGTAAACAATTTCGACTATTTTAAGTAAACATATTGGAGGGGTTTTTCAGTTTCTTTTGAGTAATTACAGATAATCTACAAGCTTTTTAGTTAAAAACTCTTTTTAGTATTTTAATTTAAGTAAAGGCTTTTCTGACTGGCCATCATCATCAATAAAGTAATTCTTCTGTCCATTCCTCCTCCAACTAAAAAGCAAACCATCCCCGCGCAAGTCTTTGCTCTGTTATAGTTGCTGTAAAGGGGGCCCTTTCTCAGGGGAAAATAGGAGACCGACCTTCTAACTCATCGATCGGTTTTGTAGGGAAATGCAAATAATTGTACATAAAACTACTAAAAGAACGAAAAAAGGTAATATTTTGAAGGTGGGAAGGTTGGAAAGATTGGAAAGATTTATTTAGAATTTAAGAAATTAAATTAATTATTATTAAAGTTTTGGTAAAAAACCAAAAATAAAACAAAAAAATATCGAGAAGATTAATTAAAATTTAAAGAATAAAGGTAATAATAAATACACTTATTTGGAGTGTAATATGGTTAAAATGGCCTTGACAATATTCAAGGTAGATTTAAAAGGATAAAGAGAGAGATTAAAACAAATTTAAGATAACTTAATTTAAAATAATATTTAATTAAAACAGAAATTTTTTTAATAAAATTTAGATTAAGAATTGAGTAATGTGTTAAACTGTTGATAATTAAGGAATGTTTGATAAAAGAAATACTAAATTTAGATTTAAAAAATAAAAGTTGTTAAGACAATAAAGCTCGAATGATATATAATAAATTATATGTCAAGCAAAAAAGCTCATAATGGTCAGGGAAACATAAAAAAGGGGGAGCGTAAACCGAAGAATTACCAAAAAAATTATTTTAGATTTTTATTTTCGATCTTTTTTTCTGGATATCGTTATTAAAATATGGTCATTCAATTAATCTCTAAAAACGATTCCCCAAACAAATAATTAAAAATAAAATTAATTTTTATTAAAAAAATTTTTTAAGAAAATATTTTTAGAAAATAAAATATTTAAAAATAAATAAAATTTAAATTTTAAAGGTCAAAAAAAGGAAA